ACATGTTTGGTGTGTTTGGTGACACCGATTCCCTCCAAAGTTGTTGTTTGTTCTACTCAACAAAACACTTTTGTGCTAAAGAAAGAAGGAAACTCTCCGAGGGCATTTACAGAAGCCTTTCTCTCAGCAGGGAAAACAGTTTGATGATACGTGTAATAAGGAAGAAATGGGATTCAAAAAAGTGTTTATATTTGGTGCATAAATTTTTAAATATCTTAATTGCCCATAATGACTGTGAGTGTTACACTGGCCTAAGCTGCTGTTTAAGCATTGCCACCCTGTAGTCAGTTTACTGTGGCTAATGCTGCGTTTTCTCACAGCGCGATAAGCCTCGGCTGTCAAGAAATCCAGATTATGTTGTTAACTGTCAGAACACCTCTGACTCAATAACCCCGGCAGAATTTTTAACACCACCCGCTTAAATGTAAGTCTCTCCTCCACTCTTGTGATCAAATATGCCATTTTCCTCTCAGTGTTAAACTCATTTTTCCCCCCTCTCCTTTTCTGTCTTTCCTGGCTCTGTGGAGTGAATCAAGATCCCAGCGTTTGTTCATTCTCTCTCCTCTCTCTTCATCAGCACTTTTTCCCTTTGATCTTTTATTCACATGATTAAGCCCGTGTATTCAGTCATTTCACATTTCTTTATATGATGAGGCCATCTTTGAAGTTGCTGTGGATACACTTCCTCTCTCACTCTGTTGTAGCACCAGTTGTAATAAGACAAATTTGTGTCTTTTTGATTTCCTAGTGTAAAATATTTGATTCTAAGAGTTTGAAATGTTTGTACAATAGGCAAAAAAAAGTACACAAAGCCTTCCCACAGCCAAACATTTTCTTCTTCACCACTTCTCTGGTTTGCTCAGTGAGAATGACTTTGAAGGTTTCTTATTTCACTCACCGTCCACTCTGTTCTTTCCTTGTTTTCACCACCGTGTCTCGGCTCATGATTCCCATCCTCTTCCTCTGGTGCCGTGATTCTTCCTGACTGAGATCTAATTTTGCCTGCACATGGATCTCCGTGTTTCTGCTGCTCTCTTCAACTCAGTCCAGCCTTCAATCTTTCACCTTTCTATTTGACACCGTCATCGCCATCAATAGTTTTAACCCTTTTCTCCAACACCACCCTCAACCTCTATCTCCACCGCAAAAATCCATTCTTTGAAGAATTCAGAACTTTTTTACTCTTATATAAAAAATACTTTTTAATAATAAGGGTTAGAGCTAGCACATTGGGAGAATACGATGTAAAATGTCAGTCTAAATAGAATGTAAAATAAAAACACATCAGCGGCGTTCTGTGTGTAGTACGTGAAGTGATGAAAATATTGTTCAGGTTACCAAAAAACAGTGAATGTAGTCAGAATGTATGAATTTATGTGTAAACAAAGAGGAACTAAAATATTTAGGTTGAAGCTTTTCTTAGACTGCTAATGATCAAAAGTCTTTGATAACCCCACAGCTCAGAGTGTTGCCCTGAGCAAAAGTGCAAACTGCACTGACGGTGATCATGCCTCTGAAACTGCCTGTGCACATTTTTGTCATCGCATTTCTAATTTCAAATGTGGATCAGGGGTAAATGAGCTATTTCAACCTGCAACCTGAGTCATATTTCTTGAGAATTGACTCAAGTTTCTTCCATATAAAGACAATTTCTGACTTTCAGTAAAAATACTGAAAAAAGATGAAATCGATGAAAATCAAAGAAAGGCAGACGAGATGCCAGACAGAAGGAGTTTCTGAGGTTTAAGGTTAAAGTTCCTGCATGATCTGGTTTGCAGGCAAAAAAACACACCATTGGATAAACACTCTATCAAACTGTACATTTTATTTAAAACATTTTGTTTCACATAAATCATGCTGAATTTCCTCCAGACGAACATAAATCCAGGTCCATCCCCTGGTACCTACTTCTTGGTGTGCACAGATGCACCCACCAATCCTCCCTCACCTGCTCACATTCCCCGTGCCCCATGGGTGATGTAGGTAGCAGATCCAGGGCAATTGAGCAGCAAAACACAGCAGTGGATTAGCAGCTGTGTGAGGGAGGCCAGATCCAGACACATTCCTCTGAGGAATTCTAGCCAGCTTAGCCGACCCCAATGCTAACTCTATCAACTCTCCACCGGCTACATTTGGCCCCAGAACCCTCAAATACACACACACACACACAGACGTAACACACAAACAGAGGCACCGAGATTTCAACTTAGATAAATGCCGAGCTTACGGCATCACAGCAGGCAGTCGGACAAACAGCCCTGCACATTTATATTGAAGGGCACACATGTTAGATACACTGTTAGTTATACATGTGCATGCACTCATAATACACACATAATACACACGACAATGTGTGTGAGCCTGGGTCTGAAATTCTCTTATGGACACTGGACTCCTCTCAGGTGTCAGGTCTCTTATATGTTTGCTGCTAAACTAGTCATGTGTCCCAGGATTCATGGCTACAACAGTGTGTGCCCCCCTGAGGGAGACACAGAGATGGGGGCTCTCTTGCTGACTGCTCAGTTGGCCGGCTGGTTTTTCTAGCTTTTAGGTTAAAGGTCATTTTGATGTAGTGACTCGTGTGTGTGTGTGTGTGTGTGTGTGTGAGAACTACATGTAACACACGGTTCACCATTTCAGTGCAAACCAAAGGGTAAGCGTTTGCACAAGCACGCTGCAATACTCATGTAATGCTTAGTCACGTTGGCTACAGCAGTGCATGTGCAGTAGAATAGTGCATGATTGGAGGGGACGCACACACACACACACACACACACACACACACACACACAGAGAGACACACAAAAGACAGAGTGTAGTGTGATTACTCATCAAGCAGCTAGCAAGAGCTGGTGAAAGACATCAATACTAGTGAAGCCCACTCCCCTGGGTCCACCTGTCGATTACAGTGGCAAAGACAAGCTGCCTGGTGCCTCAATCCATTCCCACCAGCCCTTCACCGGGTCTGTATGCATCTGACGAATTCTGGTGCCAGGAGGGAATGAGGGACCTTCCACTGCACAGTTGTATGTATGAGGTGGTTCATTTCCACTGCATATACCATTGAGATAAACAACCATTCAGAAACGTAGTGCGATACAAAACTATCACTTATGTGGTCTGTTTGTACGGCTAAAATATAATTGAATGTACACAAATGTATGTGAAATTAAATTAAATTAAAGTTTTGAGCTACTCTATAGTTACAGGATAAATACCTAGAAGGTAGCTCGAGGAAGATAGAATTATTCTCTTTCTGAGATAGATCATGTTTTTCTTATATTTGGCTAAAAGGACAACAATCCCATCACCCTCTGCTGCTTCGTAGTTGCACACAATTAAACCAGGATCAAGCCGTTTTCCTCCAGAGGTTGGAGGTTTGTTCTGTAAAACGGACTCACCTAGGACTTAAAGCAACGGCTCAAAAAAAAAAGGCAGTCTATGAAACAGTATTGCACTTCCCAGTGTAATTAACAGGTCTTTGTTTCTCCTTTAAAACCACAACACTGCCGTGATATTTCAAATAACAAGCAGAAGTCTGTAACTTCAGCTTTACTGTTTATGAGCTGTCCATGGTGCTGAAACAGTAAAACCTTTTCTCTTCCTGGTTCTTCCTCCAGTTCAGAGTCAGCTTCTAGACTGATTTATTAGGTTTCCCCGTAGAGGTACCCAGCTGACTTCATGCTAATAAATCTCTCCGGCGATAAAGCACAGGATATTGATTTCAAAGCAGGCCACTGCAACGATGATTATTAATTTTCATTAATGGGAAATATTCATTCTGAGAGCTGCTGAATGCATATGCTTGATTTTGACCTATTTTATTTTCTATGTGAAGCTTATGACCTCACAGAGGTTTGTTTAATTTGTGGATATAATATATAAAAAATAAATTCAGAGAATATACTGTACTAATAAAAAAGAAAAATAAAGACGTGCTTTTAACCAAGGATTTCCCACTGATCCTCTTTCTGATTATGGTAGAGAGAAAATGGTGTTGTTTCTATGTGCAATCACGGCCTCTCACTTCACTGCTGCCTTTCTTTTTCTCTGCCTTTCAAAGTTGAGGTCAGTGACTTTTCCGAAGCTAGATGGCAGAAGAGACCCACTGCATCCGTGCTGCGTGTGCGCCGTCATCGCCCTGTCTTTGCATTGCAAATTGCCCAGACCCATCACTACCAATAATGACATCGATCCATCTCCAAAATGAAAATCGGAGTTATGGTGGGAATACCTACCAGGCAGGCTTCTTTCATCAGCTTTCTGGATGGGACGCTGTCTGTCTGAGACTTCCTACGTCTCTCATTCACTCCTAAACACGTTCCTTCTCTCTCCACGTCTCTCCTTAGTGTTTCTTTCCCTCACTCTCTCTTTCTCCCCTTCTTTCACAACAACAACAACAACAACAACAACATACTCCCACCCACCTTTTCATTCATTTCACTCTTTTTCCCCTTTCTTCCGTATGTCTCCCATTTTTCGCCTGTATCCATTTTCTCCCTCACCTGTCACACACACTGGATCCCTACCTCTCTCTCTCTTTTGCAGCTTTAACTTCTCTGTTTCTTTTATTCTGTTTCCCGTTGTCGTTCATTTGACTCCTGCTTCTCTAAACAACCTTCCCCTCTTTAACTTCCACCGTCTCCCCTTTTTCTGCCCCCCCCCTCCCACACACAAATGCATGCTGTCATTAACAGAGTCCATTTCTTAGGATTTACATTCATCCCGTGAACCCATCCCTCCTTCACCCCCCCCCCCTCTGTCCCCACTCCATGATTTGTTGCCCACACAGCAGCCACATCATACCCACACAGGGCGATATCCTTCTACGCACCCCCCCCCCCCCCCCTCTGTGCCCTCTCCCTGATTTGTACCCCACACAGCAGCCACATCATACCCACACAGGGCGATATCCTTCTCAGCACCCCCCCCCCCCCCCTCCCCCCCCCCCCCCCTGCCCCCCCCCCTCACCCAGACACACACACACACTCCTATCTCTCTGCCTCTCTCTGCCGTGGTTCAATTGCCGATCGATGAAGGCAGCATTCAAATTAAAGTCTCCTCTCAGAGCTTTTAGCCAGCCTCGTCTGTAGTGATTTTTTTTCAAAGGGGGAGAACTGAAAATGTTGAGAGTCAGATGCAGAGAGCGCACCGTCACAGCTTCTCACACTTGATGCCCCTCTCAGCAGAGATGGTTGAGCCCTCCTCGTCCAGGTTGCCGTGGTCCTCTCCTAAAATTCACTCCCTCTCACTTCTCTCCTTCCTATCAGCTGACACAGCTCGGCGGGCGGCTCTGCCTGTCTCTCTCCTCTGAGAAGAGAAGGAAAACGAGAGAGAGAGAGAGAGAGAAAAACATAGGCTTCTTCAGCTGACACACACATGCGTTACAGTTTGAGACCATGAAGAGGACGCACACAGACGGATACTACGAAGGATCTATTGAACCGCGGGACGTTTTCAACAGGAGATGTGTTAAATGTGGCCGCGGGGACTTTGTTCAGGGCAACGCAATGAGGATAAGGACGGGAGTTGTTTTTTGGAATCTTCTTTTTTCACTAATGGTCACTTGTGTGAAAGGTACGAGCAATGATCCTGCACTGCAGCAGTGATCCATGGTTTCTGATGCGCTTTTGTGCACCCCAGAGTGTGTGTGTGTGTGTGTGTGTGTGTGCGTGCGACACATTTAACGATACAGACGTGCACAAAATAGGCTCCCACCACCAGCAGCACCATCAGCAGCGGCACCTCCACCACCTCCACCACGGTGCGCTGGATGGAGTTTTGCAGGGACGCGTCTCTCAGCGGCTCAATGCGGGCTTTGACTGAGGCGCTCAATAGATATTCTTGCGGTACACTATGCCTCTTCTAAACGCCGACGTGAGCTGCTTTGCTTAGTAGGCTAACTAGTGAATTGTTGAGGCGCAAGTGCATGCACTGCAGTTTTCCATCCTTCCTGTTAGGAAGCAGTCGTTTATTTAGACCAAAGCCGGTCGCGTCATCTGTTTTTTTTTTATTTTTTATAATGGCTTCAGTTTTCCAAATATGAGCTGGGATCAAATCCCACTCTTGCGTCAAGGCAAGTGCAGACCAGAACTGTTGCCATGAAGCGGTGAGAGGGGGGCACCAGGCAATTAGTCTGCAAGTAATTTGTCGACCGCTGTTTATCGGACTTGCCAGTGCAGACAGGTGTTAGGTGGGCTTCTTAGTATTCTGGTGGCTCTTTCTCAGGGTCTGATCATTTGAATACTCGCTGTAGTTGCTGAGGTAACCGCTGGATCCTTGCACCCCCACCTTCACCTCCCACCACTGCCTTTTGCTGAACCTATAGAATATTTATTTCTCACTCTTTTTCCCCCCACATTAGTTTAATTTTTATTGGCAGTTTTTGTCCTTTTTAATGAGAGTGTGAGTGGACTATCTCATGTCCTGATTTACAAAAGTATTGTGATTCAAACTGCTGCCTCCACTCTGTCAAATCAATTGTTGATCATTCGTTAATTTTCAATGTCCCGTGACCTTTTAATATTTTGGGTAAATGGAAATAATTCTAAATTAAATTAAATCATCTGACTTTTTATAAGAAGTTGATTTAAAAATTCAAAAACAATCAAATGTTATTCTGAATTCACTGAGTCGATTACTGCTCTGCTCTTACACATACTGTAGACTCACGAGTACAACGGTTTACATGCAGATTTAGCAGATTTTTATGCCTGTGTGTTGGGGGGCGGGGGGGGGGGCAATATGGTGAGCAGCAGCACACGGAGGACCAGCGCCCAGGAAGAGCTAGATGAAGTCGAGCAGAGTCGGTCACAGTTGCTGTTTCATCACCACCCACATTGTGGCAATGTCAAAGCTCGAGGCCACTGCCAATCCTTCTAGTTGTGTTAGTTATTAGAGCGCCAGCCAGGAATGGGAAAAGGAGGGCAGGAAGAAGTCAAGAAACGAGGTGAAGAAGGCATGAGTCTTTTAACAAGAGAACGAATGAAGGGAAAATAGTGAAATAGTAGGAAAGAGCTATAGAACAGCTGTTATTCCTCAGCTCTGACAGTTGACACAATGTTTGCACAGGAGTAGAACAATATCTCCTCTCTCTGCCCTGTGACTCACTTCTCCTGCTAAGATAATGATGCTGGGGAAAAAAAGCCACCTATCTATAGGTTTGTGCAACTAGAAGTGGCTTTTCATTGACTAGAAATGAGATTATTTTTGAACCCGGATGCTCTGTGTGTCTAGGCAATGTACAGTTCTGTTTCACACACACACACACACGGTTATCTCAGCTACAACTCAATTGGCTGCTGATACCGTCATGGGTTTGTGAGCATCACTGTCTCAGTTTGGGAATTATTGGAACTGCAGTGTGATCAGGAGGACATCATTTGTGACTTTGTCATTTTGGAACGTCAGCAGGTGCTCTGTGCTTAGCCAACCATGTTCTGATTGGCCTGTCTATTTAAACTGAACTGCTGGTAATCTGTGGCATTTTTTAAAATTCCTTTTTTTGAAAAATTGCAAGGTGCCGCAACTGAATGGGCATTGTTGTGTTTGGAAATGTTGGGTTTCCTGCTGGCATGTAGGAGGTTCTTGGTTCATTTCCTTTTTGTTATTAAATCCTGTTGTCTGTTGCTTCTGGTGCAGAATCTCTACCAAATCACTGTGTGGACTGTTGCTGTGTTGACCTCAAATGAAGGGTCAAGTCCAAAGTGATTCTTCTTCTTCAGCAGAATTGCATATGCATAAATCAATAATGTTGTAGCAGAACACTCATCTTGTTCAGCAACAGATTCAAATCTCTTTGTAGGAATATATGCGGGGGGGGGGGGGGGGGGGCAACTCCACATTAACTCTACATTAGGCTATTGTGTCATACTGTAGCAAAGATGTTAAAACAGTTAAAAACAGGATCCAATTACACTTAAGAGTGCCTTTAATGGGGATAAAGAAGGAAGTCAGACTGATTAAATGTCAAACTCATTGAGTTTCCACTTCCACATGTGACTTTTATAATAGGAAACACACAAAAACAGATTGTTGACACCTCCTTACAGTCTTTGCCCACTGCACAACATTAGAAAAAAGTTTTTCGACTGTATTACTCACACTTTAATTGCCGTTAATTGGCCGGGTTCTGAGGTAATGAAGACTTTCTATCAATCAGATTGCTTTAAATAAGGTGGAAAGGCTGCTCAGGGTAATTAGGATTACAATTTGTCTGTGTAATTACACACTATCTACAGGGATTGAGCCTTATTCCGCTGCTCGACAGCTTTTTGATCCTGAGAATAGAAGAAGGAAGACGGATGACATGACGACGTCGGCAACTGTGTTAAAAAAAAAAAAACAAAATTAAAATGAGTGAAGAGGATGTACCATTCAGATTTGGCATATGTTGACCTATCAGCACTGAGCAATGACACAGAGGGATGGCAAAGTGACTAACAGAGTACAAGATTACAGACATATGGAATATATGTTGCTGAAATTAGAGTTCAGAGATATTTAAGTTTGTGTGAGGAGGAGCTGAGGAGTTTGAGTCAGAACTGATTTTGTTGTTCAGTCAGAGGTTCCTGTGTCATAGAAACCTTTAAACATTGTTCCATAAAATCACCTGGGTCCAACAAACTGAAATGAACAACACCACATTTCCAGGACACACGACAACTGTTTTACTCTGAGGATTTCTGATGCCTCTTTTGGTGCTGACATTTCACTGGATGGTCCTAGTGGTGTACCAGAGTAGCACTCAGCACAAGAACCGGTCTCGTTTCCAGGGCTTCGGCCTCGGAGATAAGCACTTAGAGGAAGCTGACGTAGTCCTGTCCATATTGTAGAGTTTTGTGGTTTGAGCAAGTTGACTTTAAATACAAGCTGTTCTCTTCGGGGATGGAGAATTGGGCACATCCTGTCTTAAGGTAGAAAAATAGCTCACACTTTGTTAAGATTAAATGTGCCGCTGTGGTTTACGGAGGAGCAGCCTCGCTCATCAAGGAGAGAGATTCAAAGCAATCTGTCTTTACTTCCAGTGCCATTTTCAGAGGAGATGAACACTTTTGATTAGTTTTGCATTGTCCTGCCTAAGATCAGACATAGTAAGTTTAAAAGTAGTCCAGTACTTCATTGTTCTTCGTTATAAAAACCCAAATGTATTCTTGTAATGCTCACTAAAGTAGCACAGTTTTCATGCATGTGGATGTTTTTCTTTTCTTTTAAGTATCCTTGATAAGAACTCAAGGATTTCCTTTATATCTATAGTGTTATTCACTATGAGCTGTTTTTTTTTTTTTTTTTTTTTTTTAAAAATTTGTGACGGCCGAGAAGGGGTGAGGCCTAGTGATGGAAACACAGCAGGCTGAATTATACTGCTGTTAAAAAAATATCCTATTGATTTTTTAAAACCTGCTTTGCTGTTAAATTATTACCTATTACATATAATCCTTTTTTGTAGTAGTTTTCCTCCTAGTCGTTTTAGTTGAAAAAACAGTGTCTGCTGGGCATAATGGGAAAAAAATGGATTGATTAATTATCTTATTTTAGCGTTTCATGCTGTGCTCATTGGCCTTTGTTGCTCGCCTGTGGAGCTGTATTTATTAAACCACCCTTCTCATTCATCTTTGTCCATTGGTAGTTAAAAATCAGATTAAACCAGGCCTTGATTGCAGCGTCAGGGACATCTTTTGTCACTAACACAAAGGAACAGAACCCTGTCTGCGCCAATATCAACTACAGAAACTACAGAGTTGGCAGAAAATACAAAAAAACTACCTGCATCACGAAAAAAGGGAGAGGGAGAGCAGGTTTAGAAGTGTTGTAGAAGTGAAAGGTCAACAAGTGGAAACCAGAACTGTAGGCAGCTCCTGACTGGTCTTATCCACTGTTCCTCATCATTGTACTGTAGATCTGAATGATGTCGATTTTATGGTGAACATGGCGGACTCGTCTTTCAGCTGATCAGATGATTGCTTAGAACATTATGTGCTTCTCACTTTGTCCTCTAAGTGGAGTTGTGACAGTGTCGTAATGTGGATGGCTCGAAATGTGATGTTGTTCTGTGTGTTCTACCTACAGTGTCATGTCAGTTTGTGGTTTTATTTAGATCACATTGACTTCAACCAACCCATTTATATCACACTTTTAAATGTGACAACTTAAATGCTACTGCAGTGTGCCAATATAAATATTGATCTATAGATTGTTAGATTGTTATTGTTCCTCAGATGTTAGTGTTATCCAAAACAGCTTGCAATAAAGGGAAGGGAGGGGTGGGTGGTGGGGAGCAGTGTTGGAGATTAACATTACAAACACACACATCTACAGTTAAAGAAAATGCTGAAATGATGCTGTTTCCACAGGTGCAGCCTTTTGTACTTTTGCTGTGAGAATCTCTGTGTTCAGTTCTCTTCCCAGTCCAAAAAAATGATGATGTAATTTGACACTTTAAGTGGTTATGAATGTTTAAAAAATCCTTTCTTGGATAAATAAATCACTCCAACTACTTTTCTTAACTTCTAATACAAACAATCAGACAGTCATCCTGTTTGGTCTGGCCGTAAAGTGGCAGGAAATATTTACTCAAA